TAGTCTATGTGGGGTCCCTTGTCAGCGACTTAACTGCATTTTAACCAGGGCCTTTGGTAACTCAAATCAAAAGATTAAAGACAGTTGGATGAAAACAGTCCCCATAGTACTAAGGAGCAAAAATTAAGGATTCCTCACCATTCTGCTGTTTTCACTTTTTAAAAAAGTTTGTTTCATGCAGATAGCTGCAAAATTAAGAAGAAAAGAGTAAGGAAGTGGTTATTTGCTGAGCATTTTTATACTTACCATGTACTTGCCAGATGCCCAGGGACTATTCTAAGCACTTTAGATGAATCAGCTCATCTACTATGCTAGGGCCTTTCACATCCAATTCTGCATTTAATCTTACAAACACTCTGCGTAATTGGCAGCAGAGTCACCATCCTGCAGGTGGGAAAAGAGTCATTTAAGTTCCAGGCAGAAAGTGAGATATGGGGGACAGTGAAAGGTGTGGCTGGGGCTGTGCTCCCCCCTCCAAATCTGAGCTGAAGAAGGGACAGGATTAGAGGGCTCCACGGAGGTCCGGCATCTGGGATGGATTAGAAGAACTGATCTAACCACAGCAAGGGCCAAGCCAGAAGAGCCAGTGCTCCAGGCACACCGGACTTAGGAAGCTTTGAAGGAGAAACACATACCGAGCAGCCAACTGGCCCTGGCTGACCCTGCCTCTTCCCTCAGACACAGACCTCTTTGCCTGCCCCACCCCCTCCCAGCCTAACTTTGGAGAAACTCATTCACACTGACATGAATTAGGTGGGAGATGTAAACAGACCACGGCTTAACACAGAGCATGAGCTGCTCAAAGGACTTTCTGGCAGCCTGGGGTAGTGAGTCCTCCCCCACACTCAGACCCCCTCCAGCCAAGGTCCTTCTGGCCTTGCTGTGTGTCCAGGGCCTTTGGAGCTTCCAGGGAAATGGTATACGAAAACACATAATGCTCTCTGGCTGTAAGTGAAGCACTATCCTTTTAGAGAATCCTAAGATCTCGTGTCTTCACTGACATTTTTCCAAATGAAAGAACCCATTTCTTCATTGTTCAAAATCAAATTAAAGCGGGCTCTGCCCTGTTCCACTCAAGGTGGTAGAAAGTACAACCGCAGACAGGATTGGGGGGCTACTCTGCATCTCTTGGAGTTCTGCAGCCCCGGTCATTCACGGAGGACTGTCAGGTCATCTCAGGTCTGCAGAGTGGAGAGAAGCCAACAGCTCTGAAAGCTGGCAGAGCTGGGCTTCCACCGCAGCTCCAAGCCTGCCAACCAGTGCCAGTCCTCCCTGGCACCCACGCACTCCTCCTTGCCTTTAGCACCAACCCTCTTTGAGGTCTGTGGGTGCTTGGGACATCCTAGGAAGTCATGATCCCCTTGATTCTCCACTGAGTCCCTATGCTACCTCTCCTCCTCCAGCTTCATGCCACATCCAATCTACCTCCTCCCTTCACCCACCCTCCCCTTTTCTCCACGATGGGCCTTCAGGGCTCAGAGGCAAGCATTGCACGGTTCTGCAGATCCTGTGAACTAAGTCCACACAGCCCCTGTGAACTGTTTCTGGGGACTTCCATGCCTCAAGCATGACCAGCATGCTCCATCCTTCTAAAATAGAACACAGGAAGTGTTGAATTTATACACTGCTAATTATATCCTCCAAAAGAGTCCTTTAGTTACCCAGTTACAAGAATCACAGCATGTCCAAGCTGAAAGAGATGTTAAAGATCATCTCTACAGCAGTTTCCTCACTTTGCAGAAGATTAAAAACAGAACAAACAAACGAACAATAAAAAAAACAGAGAGAGGTCCAGGGAATCGGCCAAGGTCACAAAGATGGTGACAGGAGGAGTAGGAACTAGAAATCAGCTCGCTCTCCTTTACACCACAATCTCTCCACAAGAAAAAGAAAACAAACAAAATCTCCCACCTCTGGCTCAAAATAACCCATGTTCGTGTAGCCAGAAATGGTGAATGATAACCAGGTCTGTCTCCTGCTGGTTTCTACAATAAAGCAGTTATGAACCCCCCAGCTGAACCTGTCACCGCAACACGTGTGCTCATCAAGTGTGTCGAAAAGGCTCTCCTTCTAAATAAATGAACAAAAATAAGTGTGCTAATTGAAGATTAGCATGATCTACCATCAATGTTAATATGCTTTTTGGTTATTTGCAATTCCTTTTTGTAAATTTGAGGGAAACATTATTGCCCCAATTAGCTCTTTTGGCTCAGTAGAGGCCATATTAGCATTCTGAGGTTTATATTTGCTTACTGCTTATTTAGAAAGAGGTCAGATGAGAAGCTGGGCAGCTTGCGCCTGATTTCCATTTCACTGGACAGGTAGGGAGGGGGAGAACTCAAGTCCCCAAAGGCCAGGCCAAGCCCTCCCTGGTGGTGGCTTGGTGAGTCCCTCCCCTCTCACAGCAACTCAGCCAGATCACTTCCCAGAGTATCAACTACCTCCACAGTGGCTTTCCCCCAAGTATTGGCTCCACAGGTGAAACTGACTCAGGTCGGGTGAGTCCCTCCCCTCTCACAGCAACTCAGCCAGATCACTTCCCAGAGTACCAACTACCTCCACAGTGGCTTTCCCCCAAGTATTGGCTCCACAGGTGAAACTGACTCAGGTCTTCTTCTGCCTGGAACTCTGTCCCCATCCTCTCAGAACTGCCTCTGTACCATCCAGATACATAAATGTCGACTCCCTTCCTGCCCCCAACCACTGAAGTGGCCTTCATCTCGCAGTCACTCTCTAAGCTGTGCTCTTTACAGCAAGTCTCAGCATCGAGAAGCCTTTCCCATGTTTACCTGGCTCCCTTGCTGGAACGGAAGATCCGTGACCACAGCAAATCTGACCACTCATTCCCCCCAACAGCCCCAGTGCCCATATCACAGGCGCTCAGCATCTGCTGAAGGGTGGAAGGAAAATCTGAGCTGGTCAGGACCTTGGGAGTATGGTCTAAGAGGGAAAGGGGAGGCTCACTCGTGGTCCCACATCTTTTCTCCGAGTTCTGCTGTGAAGAAGAAAAGAGCAGTCTTTGAAGCCAAACCAACTTCTTTCACCACTGACAAGATCATTTTGGGCTGAAGGTTTAACCTCTCAGAGCCTCAATATTCTAACCTGCCCATCAGGAGAGGGGGGGAGGGCGGAACGCACCAACAGGTTAAGTACCTGGCTGGTACTAAGTGCTGGGTCAAATGGTGATGAACTTTCCCAGACCGCCACCACTTCCGAGTCACATTCTTTAAATGTAGGCCCCAGAGTGGACATCCTCTTCCCTCGGCTCCAAGTGCTGGTCCTGAGTACCCCTGGGGAAGCTGAAGGTGCGCCCAGGCCCATCCCAAGCCGGCGCCCACACTCCCCAGGACCCGGGAGCCGCAGCCCTGGCGGGCTCCGGCCCAGCCCCTACCGGGCCACAGTGGGTGATCCTGGCCCTCGCTAGGGTCCCGGTTCCCTGCGTGGGGACGTGTCCGACTAGTAGCTCGCAACCTTTTTGGAGTCTCGGATTGGACTCCCGTGGGGACCTCACGGGCACCATGGCCCCTCGCCCCAAAAGTGCACTCAAGCTGCGCACACGCTGCTTGGCAGTTTTGGGGGCCGCTGCGCCCGCGTGCCCCCACCCAGCGTTCGGGAAGGAGGAGTGTCAGGCCTGGGATCCCTCCGCGCCCGGCCCGGCCGGCGCTAAAGAGTCGCGCAGGCAGCGCGCACCACGTGACGGAACGTGACTGCCGGCCCGCCCACGAGGCGCGCGCCGAGGTCGGGCGGGAAGAGGGCCAATTTCCCATGATTCCTTAAATTTACATAAAGCTTGAAAGAGGCTTTGGGAAACAATTAGATTAAATTTGGCCGTAAGCACAAAGTTGCAAGTACAGAAAGTGTGATACACAAAGTCATAATTTCTTGGGTATTTTGGAATCTAAAAACCCTATACCACTTAGTCACCATAACTGTAAAAGCCTTCTAATTCTGAACTTTATATACTTTCTGAGTAAGCGTTAGGTTCGTGCTCGCTTCGGCAGCACATATACTAAAATTGGAACGATACAGAGAAGATTAGCATGGCCCCTGCGCAAGGATGACACGCAAATTCGTGAAGCGTTCCATATTTTTGTACCATGTTTACACTTGGACGCGAACACCCTTTTCCAACAGGTACTATCTTTTGTTTGAAACGAAACAGTAGTCTCGGGAGGCGGAATAAAAGGAGGTCGGGCCTAGGCAGACTCATCTCTGCAGTGCATTTTACATCTGGCCCGCGGGCCCCAGTTTGCGATTATTTCTATCTTGCCTCTGCTCCCCTCTACACTATCCTAAGAACTGCGGTACCTTACACTTAAGCAAATGGTATTGCCAAAGTTGATCCATTTCAGGTCCAAAACAAAACAGGATGCACTGCAATGGTAAACATGAGGTGTACTATAACAGGAACTTGCAGTAAGACTGACAGACTCCTCCGAATCTTTCATCATCATCATCATCATCATCATCATCATCATAATAATAATACCCACCACTTACGGAGCATCTACCATGTGTCAGGGGCTTCACCAATATTTCACGTAATTATTCCTGACAGCCCCACCGAGGATTACCGTCACCATTTTACAGGAGACACTGAGCGGTAAAGCAATCTGGGCAAGATCAAGGCCTGATAAGACCATTAGAGGCACAGACCTGAAAAGATGAGGACTCCTTCCCCAGGCAATTCCATTGCAAACACACAGTCCTAATTAGTAGGGGGCGGGGGGGAGTCCAACAAAGCCTGGATATTCCTGTGATGACTTAGTATTTTCTGAAATATCAATATCTTTGCAAAATTAAAAGGTTGGTGCATCTGCTTTGCCTGAGCACGCACGCAGTCCACCTGGAGGGCGCTGCAGCCACTGGGGCCCCCATCGTTCGGCCTCCAGCGGCCGCACAGCCCCCACGCACAGCTCCCAGGCAGTGGGGCGGGAGGTCAGACGCACAGCCCCGGAGCCGCCCCAGGTCGGCGGCGGGACCCCCACCCCCATCCCCACCGGCGGACGCTCGGAGCTGCTGCGCAGTGTTCCTCCCTGGCCTGGACTCATTTCTGCTCTCTTCAGTGGAGGTGAAGTGATCCTTTCCAGGTAACAGCCGAAAATAGGGGTCTGTGGGACCTCTCGTTGCGCCTCTTCCTCGGATAACGGCCTTCGATGCATGGAGTTAGAGGACAATCTTTGGTGGTTGGTTTCCCCTTCTTTCCCCAAAGACACCTGGTTCTTTGGCGGCCACTTGGGCCATTGGGTGAGTAGTTTGAAGAGGCTCCTTCTGGGGTGCCAAACAAGGAAACGACCAATGTTGGTGTGGCGCCCTGTCCTTCAGCCAAGGACAACCCAGGAGCCAGTAATGTTACTAGCCTGTGTGTGTTGCGAAGGGCAGCGTTACAGGGGTGAAATGGAATTGAAGAGTGAGGGACTTTGCCCAAGACGGACCGTTCAGATGGTTCTAAAGAAACTTGTTCTTTCTGGCATGACCACTGTCTCAGAGCAGGAACTAGGAAAGACACAGGTAATTCCAGTCCTGGAAAGTCCAGAATCCTGGCTGCTTTCCTGGCTCTGCACTAACTTGCTGAGAGAATTGGGCAAGTCCCTTTGCCCCTTTGGGTACATATCGTGAACAAGAGTGTTGGCACTGCAAGATATCTTTCCAATCCAGGTGCTTGTAATTCTTATGAACGTGTCTCCCAAAAAGTTTGAGAGTCCGGGCTTGAAAAAGCACTATCCGCTTTCCTGGGCCCCAGGAGGAACAGAGGCCACAGACGGGGCGCTCATTTGGGGACTCTAAAGACATTCCTGTCTTGAGTCTCAGGGCTGGAAAATGAACTCAGAGTTGCAGTCTTAGCAGACACCAATATATTAGCACTTTTTATATGCCAGGACCTGTTCTTGGTGCTTTACATATATTAACTAATTACATGTACAGCATAGTTCTATGAAGTAGGTCCTGTTATTTTTCTCGTTAATATGAGGAACCCGAAGCACAGAAAGATTCAGCAACTTGCCCAATATCACACAACTAGTCAGTGGCAGAGCATTGAGAGCTCGGTAAATCAGGCTACAGAGTTTGTGCTCTTAACCGAACACTATGCCGCTTCTGAGGGTGGGGAAGGGAGATAAGCCCATTTAGAATTAATGGAAAGAGCATGCAGATCCAGTTCTGCTTTTGTTGATGTTCTGAATTCAAGGCCGGAGTCCTATTTCTTGCAAAGGATCAAGGCTATGTATACTTCACAACAGAGTGCCTGGTGACCTTGCAAAATGTGAGGGAGTGAAGGAGCACCCTCTTTGGTACACAGCTGAAACAGGAAGAAAGTTTTCCTCTTCTAGGTTGACAATCATTTACCTCACACCTGCTCCCAATATTAATCCTATTGATGAAGGATCTTTCTGAGCAGTAAGCCTGGGCTTAATTAACCTTATGCAAATGAGCTTAATTGATTTTCAGTGGCTGTTGTCCGGAAGCACCAAGAATTCCTTCCCTCAGCCATTTCCAGCACCTAGATGAACCACAGAGTTGGAACCCATTCATCTAGACATTTGTTGTGTGCCTGTGGTGCACTGGGCCCTGTGCTGGAGATCACAAGAGCAAGGTATGACCCTCCTTGTTGAGGTACTTACAGTCCTCGACACACCCACACACAACCAAAAGTAACAATGGGAAGTGAGTGCCCTGCTAGTTTCGTGAACCAAGTGCCAGAGAACACAGGAGTAGTTACTTGTGTCCCAAGAATTGAGGGGTCTTCTGGGTGCTTTTGCAGACAGCTTACCCGGATTTGCAGAAGAAATGGACTTGGAAAGCGACTTACTGGTTTCTCCTAGGGAAAGAAGCAATCTGATGCTGTCTCCACCAGCGTCTTTAGCTTTGCCCCGTCTGGATTTTCTGGGACAGGTGGGGATAGAGACCATCATCCCACTGCGGCTCCCAAGAGGGGTCGGAGTTCCTTTGGAGCAAAAGCTGTCGGAGGTGGAAGGGGCATGTTTACCTGGTCCCTTAGCCCCAAACCTCAGACTCCAAGCCAGACCTCCTGTAGGTACCGCTGCCGAACCAAACACGCCGGGAGAACAGCCCGGAGGACATTCTGTGCCTCACCGCGTCTTCCCAACTCCCCAAACCCCACTTTTTTTGCTTGAGCCAAGGCACCCTAGTCTGGGCCTTCGGGCGTTGGCTGTAATGCCTAAAATCTGTCGCAAGGTGGCAACGTTGGGGCGAGAAATAGACTTAAAATGCTGGGGTTTTCAAAGCATATTTTCCCTATTAATGTTTCATTTAACTTAATTAGAATCTGGTAAACTAATTAAAGTAGCTACGAGCCCCGCAATCAGCAATAATTCGTATAATTATTGATAATTACATCCATACCAATCGTTTGGTTATTAACATTGGTGGGGGGGGAGGGGTGGAACAAACCACTTCTGAAAGGACGTGGAGCCCAGGAGGGTTTTTGCGACTGAGCTCTGGGTCGCATCCGCCTATCTCCCCAATCCGCAGAGATTCCGGCCCAGATGGGGCACCCTTTCCAGCGGGCCCCAGCTGCTTACGTGCTTCTGGCCACTCTGGGGGAATTTGGGGAGAAAGAGTGGAAAGGAACATTTGCTAGGCTCCTCTGTTAGGCCGCAGCCACGGAACTTCCTGTCTGGGAGGTAACTGTGATGCCCATTTTACAGGAAGGAAAGTGCAGCTTCCAAAGGTGCAGTTACGCTGTGGGGAAAGGCGCGTGCAATCTCCAGCACCCGTGCTGCCGGACTCCGTCCCAGCCCCTGATGCGCCCTCAGGTCACTTCCTCTCTGGACATCACTTTCTCCTTGGGTCCAGCGGAGACTGATCTGGTAGATCACGCCAATATGAAACGTTCCCGTTTCCTGGAGGGTCCTGAGGCGACGCTTCACAGTTTGCCTGGCCTCCTCACCACTATTAACTCCCTTATGACCTCTCTGGGTCTAGCCCTCGTAATGTCCCCGGACTTGAGAACAACGAGCCCAGCGCAAGCGGCTCTGGGTTCCTGCCTCGACCGCTCGGCTGGTCTCCCGGTCTGCGCCCCTTCCCAGCGCCCCAGAGCGTGCCCTTAGCTCGCCGGCTGCGCCATGAAACTTCCCGGTCCGCGCAGCCGGGGGCTCCTGGCCCCGAGCTCCTCGCTAGGGGGTGCGGGCCGGGCGCCAGCCTCCGGGGTCTCGATCCCGAGAGACTTGCAGTGCGAGCCGGGGGCGTCCGGGTGGCAGGGCCGTCGGGGCGCTGGGCCCTGCAACGGACCGCCGCCCGGGGCTCGGCTCCCCTCCCAGAGCGCTTCCACGAGCCCCGGGGACAGAGGTCTGAATACTTTTTTACAGAGGCGAAACGGAGGGCCAGGGAAAATAGAGGGCGCGACACGGACCCCTTGCTAGCCAGCCGACGAGGTGAAACTGAAGCCAGCGCGGAATGATTCCCAATATCGTGCGCTTCCTACTCCATCCACACTTCCCTACCCACGCAAAAAAAAGTGCTTTGCAGTGTATATCCGTTATCTGTAGCCCACCCAGCAGGTGCGCTGTGGAAACAAGCCGATGGGAGGCCCGAGGCCAGGCGAGGCCTCACCAACCGCGCCCGGGGCGGGCGTCAAACGCCCCAGCCGAGACCTGGCAAGCGCGCGGCCCGGGCACCTGCGGCCAGCGGGCCTCCCTTTCCTCCTCCACGTTCTTAACCCCCCTCGGACTGAAACGTGAGGGAACACTAAGATGCGGCCAGGGGTCCCTTCTTTCGGGTAGCGGCGGGGCAGGCACCGGGCATCCACGCACGAGCTCCATGTGGCGCCTTCCACCCCACCCCAGCGATCAAGGGCCAGGCCGAAGGCGCCCGTGCCACCTGGAGAGGCAATCCTGGTTGAACCTGGGATTCCGGGCAAGGTGTCCTGAATCTAAGCGCCCCGGAGGTGACTTCCCCAGTGTGGCAGGGAAGAGCCGGAGACCGCAGCGCCAGGGACCATGCAGTAGTCCCCTTTCCAGCTGGGGCCCAAGGGAGGGTTCTAAACGCGAAGAGGTGGTGGCCTGTGGGGGAAAATTGGGTGGATGGGTCTGGAGGAGCCTGTGGAGAGGTCCGTACACTAGCTGCTGCCCACCGGCGTAGGCGCAAATCCAACCCCGGGCGCCCCTGAACCCGCGGGGCGGTTCCCATGGCCCACCTGTTGCACAGTCTTCCTCGCCCGTCCCTGTTCCCGCTCCACCTGCAAGCTGCCCCCGCACTCCCACCTCCGCAGCCCCAAGAAGTGACAGATTTCTGTTTTTCTTTTTTTTAATTAAAAACAAAAGTCACGGATACAGGGTGCTCTCCCCAAACAGGCTCAAGGTGGTTACCATCTCGTGAGTCAGTTGTCGCCCTTTTAAAGTGCTGTTACATCAAGAGATTACAACAAAAAGACAAAGCAAAATCCAAAGGGGAATGCAAAACGGAACTGGAAGTAGGTCCAGGAGAAGGAGGAAGCAAAATAACTTAAAGCACAAATAAATTAAAGTGAACCTAATACTCTTGTGAACCAAGAGACTCACAGTACATTTATATCCATTGCACATAGCCACTTTGTCATTAGGAACAAGAGTTTCAGAAGTGGACGGGACAGGGAGCGCGGGGCCAGCGCCAGCGAAGTTGCTACATTGTATTCACAATCGGGGTCGGAGGCTGTACACGAGGTGGGAGAGGAAGGACTCCCTCTCTCCCCCCCACCCCTGGGCAGTTCAGTTAACCCCTTGAGGTCCGATGCCCTGGAGTTCAACCGAGGGGCGAGGCGGTATTTACACTTGGAAACCGAGCCAGTGCCCTGGACTGGGACTCCCGGGAAGAGGCGAGCGGACGAGCGGCTGTATTTACATCGGTCCGAATGGCTTGTTCCTCGCTCTGGGCCGCCGCGGCAGCAGGTATTTACAAGAAGGAGCAGCATGGCTTGAGGGCGCGTGGGCGCGGCCGGGCCGGCCCTAGGGCAACAGCGGGGGCTTGAAGGAGCAGTTGCCAGTGCAGTGGCGGGGCGTCAGCATCTTGCAGGAGAAGTGATGCAGCGCGTCGTGGGCTTCTGGGAAGAGAGTCGCGCCGGCCACGTTGGGCGCCTCGCCTTGCCCACTCGGTCCCCTCGTCCCCTTCCCCCGCCCCTCCCCGACCTTACCCAACCCTTTGGGGGCAGTTCTCAACCGAACTGATCTGGAGGAGGTAGGAGGGCCAGAGAGAGACCCTAGTGATTCAGAACCACTGCTCTGGTTCAATAGCCCCATTTTACAGAAGAGGAAACTGAGGAACCGTGGGGGTAAGGGGAGGGAGTCGACTTGCCCAAGGCCAGAGATGAGACCAGAAGGCAAATTTTCCGATCCAGAGCCCAAAGGGTCTTTCTCCCTAGCCCACCGTTCTAGAATCATTTCCCCATTAAAATCAATTTCCACCTCCCTCTTCTCAGCTTCTGGTCTACGTAGACCCTAGCCTTCCCCCGACTATTCCTGCTGTTTCTTCCTTCCTTCCGTCCGTCCTTGAGTCATTCTTTCAGTCAGCCAGGCAGTCGACGGCACAACCAGCACCTAGCACCCCCCTATCTTTGTTGCCCGGCCCCCGCACCTTTCAATTTCTGCTGGATGGCGTAGCGCGCCTTCCGCTCCTGGTCGAGTTCGTTACACAAGGTATCTAGAAGACATGCGAGGGGCCGGGTGAGGAAACGCACACCACCCTCCGCCGGCCGGGGTCACAGCCCGGGTTTCATCCTCTCCCCAGGGCGCAGCCCCTCGCAGAAACAACTCTGGGGACAGGGGGAGGAGGGGGCACCGACGCTTCACTCTGCAGACTGGCGGAGGGAGGAAATGGTCTGGGATGGCGCTTAAAGGCAGACGGATTTAACCAAAATTAAAGCAAACTTAGGCATTACTTCCCAGGTAATTTTACGCCTCGATTTTTAATTTAGAAACCATGGAAATTGCCGCGATAAGAAGTTCAATCACTCCATGTAATGATGCCTGCAAGCCGTTTGCTGGGCTCGCTTGCCATTCTGAGGCTAATCAGAGTATACAAAGGATATTAAATAAAAAAAATAATTGTTAAATTACCTTCAATTTAAATCCAAATGACTGAGCCAACATTGCGGCTCCTGCCAGACGAGAGGCAGTTAGGGCCCATGCAGGCGCTCACCTGACTCCCGTCTTACCTCTGACAATTTGCAGCTGTTGCACCATTTCTTCTCGATAAGCCAATTCTCTCTTCATTTGATCCTGAAAATTATCTGTGCAAATTGATTACGTGAGAGCTGTTACGCACAGCCCCCTCCCCCAGCTCCACTTCCCCACTCTCTATTCCCCCACCCCTCCCCCACCCCTGGAAACCCGGGAAAAAAGGAGAAATTCCCGGCTCCCGCAGGGGTGCAATGGCAGCTGCCTGCACCCAGCTCAAGTGGGGGGTGGGGGGACAGGAAAGCTCAGTGATGAGGTAGGGTGGGGTGGGATGCGGGTACCTTTGAGGCTCTGAAATTCCCTCTCCAGCTTCTTGCGGAGCTCCATTTGCTCCAGGAGCAGTTTTTGCAGTTCCTCTGTGAAGGGGAGAGAGTGGGAGATAAAGAGAGAGAAGAATGTGGAACTTAGGGGATCCAGAAGGCACCCAGGTCCTTCCCTGGCCAATAGCCCTGAGACCAGAGTAGGGGGAGATGGACTGGTAGGTAGAGGCCCTCAGCATTCTGGCTTTCCCATGTGCATTCAAATGATTTGGGCAAAGAAACATGACTAGGGTAGGATGCCGAGGAGAATAAAATTCAGGATGGTAGAACCCATATTAGACTCGGTTCCAGGAACTAACCAGCTTGGCATCTGCTTTAAGTTGTTCCTAACTTAGAGGCTGGCCTAGGAAAACTTGATTTCCCACTTCAAATGACAGACCTAATTCCTTCTTTCAAAACAAATCAGGCAGAACCTGGTCACAGCTTTGGATACCCTTCCCAGAAAAATACACATACAAGTTTGCCTACAATTTCAGGAGGTTCCTGGACTCCCCAAATCCATGCTAAGAACCCACATATAAAGCACAAATGATTTCGAAGGTAATGGCATATCGTGTAAAATCTGTAACTAGAAAGAGTGGAAGACCACCAGTGCTTGTGTCCCTCCCCCTACCAATTTCTAAGTCCATCCATGGGCTGGGGTTGGGGGGGGGGCAGGTGGTTATGGAAGCCTCCTTTAGTGCCCTCAGAAACCAGCTCTGAAGGGGGAGTTGCCCTGACCATGGGGTCATTTGTATCTGGGTCCTCTCCAATGGAAAAGCTCTTCCATTCCTGTGGGACAAAATGAGGTTAGAGACTCCCTTCCTCTGTGACTCAAGCCATACTCTCCCCCTTGCAGGCTGAGCAGCAACCCAGGATCCTGTTCTGCAAACAATCTCCATCCTCACTCCATTTAGGGTAGAGTGGGGGTGGTCACACATTAATTGTGGCAGGGGGAAATAACCTCTCACACATTCCTGAAATAAATCCCTCCCTGCAATCTTGCTATTCAGAAAAAGTCTTGTTTTCTATTGAGTTTGGGAGACCCAGATTGTCCTGTCCACAGGCATCAAGTTCTGAGAATCATTACTCATTTCGCTTTCTCATTGGGCTTTTCAGACAGACCCTGGCCTTGGGAACCCAAATTTCTAATTATCCTCTGAGGTTTGGTTCACTCCCCCCCCCCCCATGTACACACTTCTGTGCTAGGATAATCCCTTCCACTCAATGAAATGAAAACTGATTCCCCAAGAGCCATGTCTTTACCACACTCACTCCCTACAGGAATAACACCTCCTCTACAGGAAGGGCCCATCTCCCTCAAGCACAGTGTACTCCCATTTCACAGATTTAACCTCACCTCTGGCCAGGTTCTCAATATCTTTCTCCACCAGCTGAGTTCCTGTGACATCAAGGTTAAGTCCATCTTCACCTGGGATACAAGGACAGGTAAGAGGGGTTCTGTCTTGGGAGAGGAGTGAACTAATGGGGAACTGCCAAGTCAGGAATCTATTGCAGCCTTTCTATCTTTAGAGGAGACAGTTACAGGCATCCAGTACTACACACCTTCCAAGCGTCATTTTAGGAGGTAGGAGAATGACCCACTAAAGGAGAGTGGGCTCAGGGAAGTTGGGCTGTCCCAGGGCAGGAAGTGTCCTTTGACTTGTTTTATGTGGGTGAGGGTGTCTCTCCATTTCCTTTCAGTATGCCCCCTGCCCTTACCCGGAAGACTCCCAAACCCACCAAGGAGGTACCAACTCAGGAAATCTGGCCTGCACCTCACCCTCCTTATCTAAATATTTATCTGCTCGCCGCGGAAGGAAACCGGCAGCCGCTCACTTTTGATTGAAAACCTTCTCACAAACCTGTGGGAACACGGGCGACCTGGGACCCAGCTCCCGGGTGCGGGTGGGGCGCAAGGAGTTCTAGGGCTCACCTCGGTCTGTATTTGTGGGACTTGGCTGGGAGATACTCCTTTGGTCTGGATACGATTTCCTCGTTTCCAAATCATCGGCGGTCGAGTGATTGTCTTCCTTATCCGGCTCTTAAAGGCAATAAACCGAGTTTCAAATAGAGGCAAAGAAACCGTGACCCCGATACTGTCAGAGCTGCCGCAGTCGGGGCGCCGCAGCCCTAATTAAAAGCGTCTTGGCCACCTCTGGTTCCCGGTGTGCGCCCAGGAGCGCGCCCTGACGCTTCGGGCCGGGAACCCCCTCCCCCGCTCGCGGTCTGCTCATCCCCCTGCTTCACGACCCCGCCCCAGCCCCTCGCAAAAGAGCAAGACAAGCAGCCGAGCCCACCAGGGACAAGCGACCTACATCGCGCGCAGATACTGGGGCACCGCGAGCGCGCGTGGCCGCCGGGTCTGTCCGCGCTACTCCTGCCGAGAACGCGACCACGGTGGCGATCGTCGGGATGATGGGGGGGAGGGGACATCGTCCCGGACTCAGCTGTCTCAGCCTGCCTGGATTTCCAAGGTCCCCATCCCCTCCTCTGTGAGCAATCTGGTCCCGTGTACAAGTGCAGGGACCCCCCTCGTGTTGGGCCGTAGCTCCTGGGGTACCGAAGCACGAGGCTAAGCGCCCCATCCTCCGCCCAGACCCGGCCTGGCCACGGGGGTCCCCGCAGCCAAACACACTTGCTGAATAAACGAGAGAACTTGAGGGAGGTGCCAGGCATGATTTTTAAAAGGTTTTAAGCCAGCGTATAAGGCCTAGCGGAGCATCAGTGCATGTATGCACGTGTGGTGGGGAGGGCCGGTGGTGGCGGTTTTTAAGTAACCAAACAGTGGAAGTTGTTGGGAGTTCTCTCTCAGCTTCCTTTCTCTTCCATTATTTTTCTTTTCCTCTCCCTCCTTCTATCGCTCTCTCTGGGTCTCTCTTCCCCCCTCGTCTCCCCTCACAGGCCTTCTTTGGACCCGGCGCTCTGCCTACGGTCCCCCCGTTACAGTGGCCAGTGGCCTCGGCAGGCGTTACCGTGGGCCTCGGGGGTGCAGAGGTAGGAGGCCGCGGGCCCCAGCGCCGCCGCCGCGCTCTTCACGTGCTCGTCCCTCTCGGGCGCGTACACCTGCGGCGGCCGAGAAATGACAGGCGATTAGGGGGGCCCTTGGCGGCGGCCCGAAGCCGCCCAGCCCTGCTCCGCCGCCAAGAGAAGACGCCGAGAAGGTGGCGGACGGAGGTTGGCGCGCCCTGGGGACCTGAGTGCCCCGGACAGAGGTGACGCACGCGGGGCGCCCTTGCGTGCTCGGAGCCCGTATCACTGTTGTGGATTCAGAGAATTATGAGGGCCCACGAGAAAATTACTCGAAACACAAAGCGGCCCCCACCCTGTGCGCCCGCCTCCCTTTCTGGCATTTTGCCTCCCGCCTGTGACCGTGCCCCGTCCCCGGCATAAATGACGCCTTTCGCATCCGGTTAATGATTTGTGTTTTAATGAACCGAATGGAAATGTACAGGTTTGTGCACCCACTTTCCAAATGGCCAACGATTCCGGCCTAGCTGCACCCCACCCCTCAAGCCCAAGCCCTGCCAACCTGAGAGCCTCCCTCCACCCTCCACCCCGTCTCGAGAGAGCTTCCCAGCAACGAACCCTGCAGTTCCCAAGGCGGGAGTTCGGAGAGACTCGGAAAACTATGAGCTGGGGTGGCGGGAGGTTGTGCGCCCCGATTTGGGGAGAGGCCGCCCTCTCCTCTCCTCAGCTGCCCGTCTTCCTTAGGGCTCTGACCCCAATCCGGGCCTGGCCTCGCGAGCGCTTTTCTCTAGCTCTGGGTCCCTTTCTGTCCTCTTTCTTCCTCCAGATCCCTGTTACTTCTTTCTGTGTCTGTGTGTCTGGCAGTCACTGCCGGTCTCCTCCCCACTCCCATCAACAAAAACAAAGCACCCGCGTTCCTCAGGCCTAACATCCCCCCGCCCCCGTCTTCCGGAACCCTCAGTCGGGTCCCAGCGAGCCCAGCTCCGAAGCGCGCCCGACGCTGGGCCGGGCGGGAGCAGCCGGGGCCTGCTGCTCGAACGCCTGCGCGGAACGAAATCCCGTACTGCTCCCCGCCCGGGCCTGCCCCGCATCCGGGCCGAGCGGAGGGGAAGGTGGGGGCGCCACCGGCAGAGCGGGCACGGAGCTCACCTTGGCCGGCGCGGGGCCTCCTAGGGGCCCGCAAGGCTCTCGCAGCTCGTAACCGCCGCTCGGCGGGCTCCTCTCGGGTCTCCGCACCACGTCGTCGACCGCCAGGTCCCCGAATGCGGACCGGCCTGCTGGGGGTGGCCCAAGGCGGCGCCGAGGGCGGGGGCTGCCGCCGTCGGGAGAGTCTGCGGGAACGTCCGCGCCCGAGGAGGTGGCGGACGGGGGCGCAGCGGGCTGGTCGCCATCTGGGCCACCTCCCGTGCTGGGAGCGCTGGCCTCGGTCTCGTCCTGGGCGCCCTCGTCGTCGGGAAAGCGGTTGGACTCCACGTCCACCTCGGGCTCGTCCGCGGTGTCCACGTCAGGCGAGGCGGAACGATAGCTGGAGCTGCCCTCGCTCAGGAAGTCCGGGCTCACGTAGCCGCCGCCCGGCCCCGGCCCCGTCCCCGTCCCAGTCCCCGCGCCCGGCCCAGGCCCGCGAGCAGGCCCCGCACCGTACGCCTCGCGGGCGCTACCGTAGAGCTTGGCGATGCTTTCGGTGTCTTTGACCACCGGCCGGAAGGCCGACACATAGGAGCCTTTGCGTGCGGGCGGCGGCGGAGGGGGCAGCGGGGCCAGGGGTGGTGGCAGCGCCTCGTCCGCGCCATCCTCGTCCATCGGCCCGCGGGACAGAGAGCTCGGGCAGCGCTCCTCCCCTCCGAGACCGCCCTCCTTGGCTGGCTCAGTACCGTCCAGGACCTCCGGG